TAATCTCTTCTTCAGAGACATCTACAAGCAAAAAAACTTTTTATATATCTATAAAACAGTGATATTCATCCACTCTTTCAGAGTCTTATAATAATGGAAAGCAGGCAATTATAGAAAAGCTTAATCCTTGTGTGTTTTGGTAAATTGTTGGAAGAGAACTGTATCAGTAATACTGCTTGAAATTAATCCATATAGATTCTCAGCATCTTCCATATGAAGATCCCCAGCTTTCCATATGTGTTATCGTCCCCCACATCCCTCCTGTCTCTCTGGGGACTACTCTGGCAGCCTCACCATGCACAGAGCTCTTGCAGTCCCCTGACTTCTGCTTCTGGCCTCTGGGCTAAACCTCACACATAATTAAAGAATTGGTTGTTTTAGAGGGTATTCGCTGCAAATGCTGAAGACCTACTGTTGCCTGAGTCACAGAGCCCGAGTGGTTTTACGCATAAGGAATTACTGCCTCTCTCTAAAAAATGAGTTTAAGTAATTGTGAAGTGTGTTCAGCCCTCCCATGCTTTTCACGAAAACACAGCTCCTGAATACCCGGCCTGAATGTGAATGAGAGTTACAAGATTTTGTTCAGGTTGGTAGTTTTATTGGTTTCATATTAACAGTGCAAAATGCATCCAGTATCCCCCTTTCTTTTTATATTTTTCCTCTGCTGAAAGAAAATAGTTTTCTTAGTTATGTGTCTTCAAAAGCTGGATGTGAACAGTAGGAATAGCGACTGCTCCTTCCGCTGGTGCTATCTGATAATCAGGATGGGGGACAAGTGTTATGGTATTTTTTGTACAGAAGATGACATGTGGCTATATTTTGTTTTGTGCCTTATAACCTATTGTCTGTAAAATAAAACTCCACACAAAAACTGGCTGTGAATTGAAAGGACCTGCATATTTTGGAAGTGGAAGGAATATTATCCTAACACATGCATTTTCAAAGGTCATCTCACTGAAGAGCCATTGCCTGCTTATCCAGAACTAATCTCATTCTCTGCAGCTGGCAGTAGATGAATCTAAGTTCTCACTAGCCTCAGAAAAAATCAGCTCTGTTTCTTACTTTCTCTCCCTGTGTCCTCTGAATTCAACAATATGGGACATATTATTAAATGATACCTAACAAAGAAGATAAATATCTTTAAAAGTTTGACAAACTTATTAGTGCTGTGATGGATTTTCTACCACTGCATGTGTTAAAGTAAAGACTGGATGTTATTATGAAAGTTACATACAATTACAGTTAGATACAAACAAGAATTAATTCAAAGAATTTCTATTGTGTGAGACAGTTACAAAATAATTATGGTCTCTCTTGGCCATATAATACTATTACAGGTCTTAAAAGATGCTGCAATGGCTGTGTCTTACAAAACGAGTTTTGAATTTTAGGTCTCAGACTGATGACCAATTACAAATCTGCATTCAGTATTATCTGGAATTTATCAAAGGCTAAACTTCTACATGCAGATAGTTACCAACCTAATCAGCTGCCATGAAATAGCTGGGTGGATGGTTAGTAACTGGATTATCAATCTAATCATCTAGAGAGAATGATAGCAGTTTTGTTGAGGGGATAATTGTGCATCATTGTTATTAAGAACCAAATGCCAAACATGGAGAGCAAATGTGGATAAATAAAAGTTGTTGGCATTTTAATTTTTTTTTCTTTTTAATATTATACATCCTTGCCACAAAGTGGGATGAACTTAATATGAGCTGGCTCTTAGGCTGTCCTTTTTGCAGTACCCAGTTTTTTGTACCTCTTGACCTGCCTGGTCTTTCTAGGTCTGAATGTTTCAAAGACTTCTGCATGAAGTTAATTTGATGCATTGCCAGTAGTCTTCATTTTGGTGGAGTTTTACCAGAACTGTTGCCCCTGATGGTAAAGTCTTCCAGGCATTCTGGCTATTTGCATGACTTCTTTTTTGTTCTAACCCTACATGAACATGAACGCTACATAACATGAAGAGGAACGAAAGTCCAGACTCTCTCTCTTGCTCAGGTTGAATATGGACACAAAACCCCAAAAGTGTGGAAATAACACCTGTGGGAAGAAGCATCCTGTGCCCCTACAGGTTAACACTCAGTGTCCAGCACTGTTAAGAGATATTTCAGCCTTCCCTAGGGATTTTATTTTCACCTTTAAGAGACAAAGGAAGACAACATGTATCTCAAATTCAACTTTGTATTTTAGCCCAAAATCATAACATTGAATTCAGATACTCTTATCTGAATAGATCACATACTTGGTGAATTTTTGCTCCTTCTTGCTACCATTAGAGACTTGCATTAAAGAGGTTACTGTTACTTCAGTGCCAATTATGCCCCTGTCTTGCACAGGGAGTAAAAAGGAGCATGGATTTTTCTTCTTTGCTATGCACTTTGCATAGAAAGAAGGATAAACGGAATTTCCTTTACCAAGGGAGTACAGGAGTTGTTCTCTCCCTGCATTTGAGACACAAACTACAACAGCAAGAGGTGGGGTTTGCTTCTCCCTGTAGCTGGCTGCTTTCTGAGAGAGGGGAAACAATGCACCATTTTAAGAACCACTTTTCCTTTGTGGGATCTCTCACGGGAAAGCTGCAGCCCTGCACGTACATGCAGAGCTCAATATACAGTGGCAGTCTCAAGTTCTTAGGCTGCCACACTTCATGTTCCTTTCCGCCACCAAAAGAATTAACAATGGAAAAGCACCAAGAAGTTGTTAGCTTAGGCAGGGCAAAATGAAAAAACATAATTAGCCCCTACAGGCAGCATAATGAAAATGTGGAAACAAATCTCTGTCGCAGAAGGTAGGTGAATGAAAGGCTGGTGTGCAGGACCAAGTCATCTGTAGGCAACCTGAAGTAATTTAGATTGGTGTTTTGACCACCTCTGGCTGCAAGAGGCATTAAGGGTGCCCATGAGTTAGTCTAATTGAGGCTGAGTTAGCACTTCTTCTGGAAACATTTAATGTATTTTAAAAGCCTTGTTGTTGCAGCTGTCACTCCGGTTAAAACCTTAGACACAGATCTTGGCACAAGAGCTCATCCTCTGAACAAATGAACCCCCCCAATTACTATGGGACTAGGAGGAGCATCTCTCTAACTTAGTACCAAGGAGGTGGATGTTGGCTTGGGCCCCTCACGGAGCTCTAACCTCTGTCTGAAGCCCTCCTTTGGGGTGAAAGAAATACAGCAGTAAAAGGCAAAAGTAGCACAGAGGCGGGGACTAATTTTTATATTTTCTATCCTTATCATTACGAACTTGCAAGAAATAATTCAAGTACATTACAGGCAAACTTCTGGGAAGTTCTGGCAAGAGGCTAAGTCTATTTGCTCAGATTAGACTTCCCAAGAGGAATCCAGTTTAGCGACAAAGTCACATACAATGGCTATGTGGAGGTAATGTGAATTTACACAGTGGCCACCAATCTGCTTATCTGGAAACAAACCCAAACCCAAACCATAAACTTAGCACTTCCTCCTAGGTAGACATCCCCAAATATCCTAAAATTGCCAGCACAGTCCTTTGATCATGACAAGAACTACAAAAATAGGATTTATTATTTTGTGGCAGTTACTATTAATATAATTCCTACCATTGTCTTTTATTTGCTTTCTGGATTTTTATACTTTCAAGTTTGTTCCTCAGCCACAATGGCATGCAACTTCTTTTTTAATCTTAATGTTGAGATTTTGAGGTAATCACTTCATTATGAGAGTGGACCCTCAAAAAAACAACTCAGTAGGACAAGTTATAAAGTGGAGTAATGAAAGGTAGTAACAGAAGTGACTGAATCTGATAATGAATTTGGACATTTCAAAGCATGCAAACCAAGACATGCAACCCCCCAATTTGACCAACATTTAACTTATTTTTCAATAATTTTGAGTTGGTAGAAAGTAGAAATGGCAAACAATTAATTAAAAATGTACTCAAACAAACCAAAGTTACTTTATGCTATAGAAACTGAGACATATTTCACTCCTGCTTACGCTGATTTGTTGAGTTTCTCTGTTCATAACTGACACACTTCCTTTGTCTGATAACTTTAGTTTTTTGATCTGCAGTTAATACAACAATTTGGAAGCTACTGGTAATTACATGGTAGAATTAACCCTTAAATGTCTATTTTGCATGGGATCTTTTGTCTGCAGTTTATGTTCTTGGTATCATGAAGCATGGTGTTGTGAACAAAGAAAATGAAAATGAAAAGACATAAAGAATATACAGTTCTGAAGGAAAACAGGGAGTGAGAATGTTAGGAAACTTAGGAAAGTTTTAAAGCAAAAAGCTAAAACGAAAACAGGTCATGAAAAATGAACTTCAGACTCAAGTAAAATACAGACACTTACCTTTAATATATATAATGGCCTACATTTTATAAAAGAATAGTACTTTTTTTTTCAGAATATGTCCCATTTAAAAATAAGTTTTTAGAAAGATGAGTTAATCATTGTAATATATAAATCATATAACTTTAAGTGGCGATGAGACTATAAAGACAACAGCTGTAATACGCAAGTCAGTGTAGTAATCTAAAATTAGGCTAAAAATGTTATATTCTTCTATTTTACAAATTTGATTTTATTTATGTTATTGAAGTATCACAAAATTTTTATTTTAAAATAAACTATCAATTATTTGTTCAAGGGCTTAGACAAGTGGTACAGACAATATTTGAAATGGTTTCTGACTCAAAGATCAGTGAAAACAAAATAATAAACCAGCTGCCTTTCAATGCAACATCTAACTCCTATGTCTTTTAACATGTCTTTTAGTATAAATTTTGGTTAGTCAATAGAGGCAAAACGTACTTCTTCTTAGTATTTTTTAAGAAGGGAGACATCCACAACTGCTGACTTTATTAACTAATAACTACTTTTTCTAAGCTTAGTTGTAGTAAGTAGCCATAATGTTGAAACAGGATGTTTATGCTCAATGTAATCTCATAAATTATATCATATGGTAGTTGAATATATAAATATCCATGGAAATATACATATTCCTACTTACCCAACGGACAGGAAAGGCTCCTTTGATTCAAGTCTGTCAAGTAAATAACAGAAGTTTTAAATATAGATATATTTATTGCATTTCAGAACATTTATATGATGAATTTAAAACAGCCACTGTCAGTATCAAATTTACTTGGTGACCAATACACAATTTAACAACAACAGAAGGGCCTGATCCATTATGCTAGGAGTTTAACTTGAAAAAAATCCTATCCACCTAACTGAACTTTGGTTTAGAAATCAAATATTTACAAAGTGGCACATCTAGGCCCTTTAAATTTAAAGATTCAGATGACTTGTGTAGGTATTTACATGGAAAGGCTAGAGTGAACAAGTAATACTTTGTCCTTTTTTTGCATTTTTCATGCAAAATGTTTTTTTCTTGATGGCCCTGATTTAGGGAAGATATCGAATCTTTTTTTTTAAACTTTAAACATAAAATTTAGTATGGGTGTAAGAACTTTCCTGATTTGAGGGCTTCCACACCCATTTTGTTTGCTTTCCAACATCCTCTATTCATAGGACATGGTCAATTCTTCGTCGTGAGAAGTTCTGGCACATCTGCCACAATCAGCCTTGCGCTGGAGCTGGATGCCACTAGTTTGGTAGACCCAGAATCTAAATTCTGGGCCCAATTCTAAAACTCAGTTGTTGAAAGTGTTGTTCTCCAACTCCCTGCCGTTGCTGCTGTCTCTGTGAGGAGCTGCACCACTTGCACACTGGCAGGAGCCTCTTCTACTAACATTTTCCACCCAACAAGGATTGATTTAAAAATCCTCATCTACATGTTTGTACTGTGTTTCTGCTCTAGTACCTGCAACCGGGTGCCCTTAATTTTATAGTGTGTCTGGTTGCAATGAGTTTACTAATATCATCAGCTGCTTGTTAGGACCATTGGCATGTGAGTTTAGGGTCCTTTATACACATATTTAAAGCAAATTTACACCTCAATTATTTTGAGAGGTTACATGACATGCAAATGATACAAAAGTTCTCTGTTGTGCTAATTTTCACTGAGAGTACTGTGTTAGGAAGAACAGCAAATAAAAAACCTAGGTACTTAACGTCTCTTTGTAGCCTTTAAAAAAAGTGTTTCTAATAAAGTGAAGTATGTCATATTTGGAACTGAACATTTCATTTGTGATGACCCCTCCCATCCGAAACCAATTCAGTCCCACAACAAAATATCTGAAATAGAACTGTAAACAACAGGACTAATCATAAATAAAAGGACTGTAAATAATGGGTCAATGTTTTAAGAATGAACCTTTCCTGCAAGTCGTCTTTGTAGAAAAAACAAATACATTTGCAGTTATTATTCATTTAGCAAAGGTTTTGTCCAAAATCTCACAAACCAATAGAACAGTTTAGTTATTTCCATCTATCCAGAAGAGTATTTACAAAAGGTGAACTTGTCACTGTGCTTTTGAAAGGATTATATGATTTTGTCTTTAATTTAAAAATACTGCATGTCATCTTTTTGCAAAGCATTTACTTCTTCTTTTCCAGAATCATTAGTTGAAATAACTTAGGAGCCTGTCTTCATTTACAATGTCGTCTTCTGATGTACTTTAAACCTAATTTCCTGGGGTTAGATTTGCAGCAGTGGTAAGAACAACTTTCATAAGGCTTGAGGAAAGGCCAAAATGTATCCAAAACATAGTATTTTTTCTGTTGTCCTCATGGCTATACCTCACTTTTCCATTTCTTTCTGGGATTGTGATCCACATGGAAAAAAAAACAATAGAAGAGGGGATCACTGATGGACTTGCATGTACCTGGAAGCCCAAAGCTGAGTATCCCTGTGCTCAGGGCGACACTTCTCCAGGGCAGTCCTAGTACTGTCACGAATGCTTTCCCACCCAGACTGCCATGCTGCACACCAAAACCCTCATAGCACCAAGAAAATGCTTAGCTTGGCATCCTCCATTATTAGGCTGTACTGCCAGAGAGCAATAAAGGGACTTTCATGTGCAGGGTTGCATCCTTCTCCTGCAGGCTCTGTGCAGCCAGCTTCACGGACCAGCTTTTCCTGCTGTGGATCACAGCATTACAGGAAAACATCTGTACCATCTTTGCAGCTTCTCTCTGGTGCATAAGGAAAAGCCCCACTAGCGTTATGGTTTTGTTTCCTGTTTTTCTGCTTAATGAAATGAGCCAGACCTGGGAAGCACCCAGTGTTTGGCTCGAGAGACTAACTATAACAAAACAAGCAAAAAATGAAAGCCTCAAAACATATTTACATACTTCATAATACAGAGACCTGGCACTATCCTGATGGATGATATTCTGGTGGATTTTACTTGCAAACAAAAAGTGTGTGATAGGATGCCCTATGGACAAAATACTGCAATTAAAAATCTATTTGAAATCCATTCTCAAGATGGAATTCAATTTGATTTAAATAGTGCTGCCCTAAGTTTGACCCTTCTCTAGTATATTTGACTAAATGGTTTTAGATAATTTGCTGCATTACTTGAAATTAGTTCAAGTGTTCCTCATAGTAAAGAAATACAATTACCTGTTGGCCTTTTATTTAAATGGGTAATTCAGTATATAGCGAATTAATTTAAAGGTTTTAAAACTGCAACACCATATAAAATAACATCCTATATCATATTTACTGATGACATTTATCAATATATATTATAGATTTTTTACCTTTCTTTTCTAGCCTGCAGTACACCAAATTCTCCAGAGTTTTGAGGAATTCTTGCATAATTAAATATGACATCTCAAAAAGAGTAATCCTGATAAGCCTTGAGAAGGGCTGTCATACACCTTCAGCAAAAATGTTAAAACACAAATTTTCTTTCTTGCAAAAATGTATTGAGTGTGCAAGAAATACTAGGTTGGACAGTAAACAAAGGGAATAATGTTTTAATTATATGGGAATGGTAATGAAGCTGGAGCAATCAGGATTTTTCTTTCTTTCCTGAAATGGTTTTCCCATCAGAAAATTTCAGTTTGTCAAAATGTCAAGGCAATATATCAGTCTGAATAAGAGGGAGGCAGGCTAATCAGTAGCATGACTAGGACATGGCAGACTGAGGTTGTGTTTCCCTTTGAATCTGAGCTAAGATTTTCTGAAAGGTCTGACTTTCTTATCTATATATAATGGATAAGTTTTTGCAAGAGGAAGAAGGGTTTTTACATTATGTAAATTGCTCAATTAAAATCAGTCATTGTAAATCAGACAGGCATAGGCAATCAATTTATACCCATTGATATGTTACGGTACTGTCACACTATGTGTTTAAAATAAGGACCCTAGAAATTTCCCGTTTAGTATTTTACCCCTTGCAACATGTCTTGGAGAGACATTTTAAAAAATCGGATTAACATAATTGTGTGTTTCGTGATTTTCTTTGCTGCTAAGTTTGCTTATATTAATGCCAATTATCTAAATCCCATCTTTGACATGGACTGAACATGTTCATGGACAAATTTTTCAAGGTTTGCAGACAAACGTACAAAGAAACATGACTAGACTAAGGGCATGTGAATTCTTCTTTGACTTGTAAACAAATAATTTAAGGACAGGAAGATCCCATAGTAAACTCCACTTTCCTTGCATAATTGTCCTATTAAGATTACAGGCAAGATGGCTTTTTATATCTGAGGCCTGCCCCAAGATACATAAATCAATATAATTTCTTGCTAGAGAATCCTCGCATCTCCTTCCCAAAACCTATTTATAGGACAAAGTGGATAACATTTCTAACAATATCAAGCACTGTTCACAAGCAAGTGGATTTTAGCCAAGCATTCTCCAAGGTAACTCATTATGAATCAATATATTCTTCCCCATGGTGATCGCATAATTTCATCTCTAAGGAGTAAGTAAGAAAAGCATGTGTAATTTAAGGCATTTGTTAGGGTTCTTATTCTGACTTTTTTAATATAATAAAGCTGTCTACCCTGAATCAGGGAAAGTGATGGTCAGGAACCAAATTTTTTTTAGACAAATCACCATTTTGGGTTACAATCTTCAAATCAGAATTTCCAAGGAAGATAACCTGAGTGTGTTGCTAATGTCACACATTTTCTGGTTTGACTGTAAAACCCATGAATAGTGACTGCAGTTTTTGGGGGGACTGGAAGAATTAATACCTCTAACAGGAATCCAGAGGATTCAAGCTTTTCATTCAAGCCTTGTAGGAAAGTCAGGCCAACTAAAAGGCATTTTGGACTTCAGTCACTTGATGGATTGGTTTTATAATGTCAATGTATATTTTGTATGATTGATGTGGCTGACTTATTTACCTGTCAAGCATGTCTATCTCTTTGTGCTGCACAGCTTTAGGAACCAAAGATTTAGCAAAAATATGTGAAGTCAAAGAATATTCAGATTTATGGCTCACCCTATTTGCCACTGAATTTAATTTTAAAATAACAACCAAAGACAACTCAAGGGACCATTCAAAAGAAACTGAGTTAGTTTGCCATTTACAGTGATGAAACAGGGCTGCATTTTTCTCTGCGTGTTGACTTCGTGGTTTGAAGTCAACAGTCAGTAGTGATCAGAAAACATCTTCCTTCAGAAATTTTTAAGCAGTATTGCTCACATTTTGTCCTCTAATTCCTTTACTTTTAAAGCACGTGCATTATAACTTTTGGTAACTCCCGATATTTGTATACAATACAATGCAAGCAGGCCTAATAAAAGCATGTCTTAATTTGTAGAAGAAATATTATTTCATGTAACTTCCACTATCTATTGAGACTGAAATAGCCATTGCTGGTGTACACTAGCTAATCCTTCCTTCCTTCATTCCTTCCTTCCTTCCTTGCCGCACCAAGCTGTGTGGTGCAGTCAACACTCTGGAGGAAACGGATGCCATCCAGAGGGACCTTGACAGGCTTGAGAGGTGGGCCCGTGCGAACCTCATGAAGTTCAACAAGGCCAAGTGCAAGGTCCTGCACATGGGTTGGGGCAATCCCAAGCACAAATACAGGCTGGTTGGAAAATGGATTGAGAGCAGCCCTGAGGAGAAAGACTTGGGGGTGTTGATTGATAAGAAGCTCAAC